CTTCACTAAAGGAAAGGTATAGGAAGCAGGCGGCACAAGTAAGGAGGCTCTTAGGTATAAAGTTAGAGAGCAAGGCTCATTCAGGGGACCAGAGGCGGTTAGAGGTTTTAATGGAGCTTAAGCCGGAAAAACAAAACAGCAAAGCCCAGGTGCCTGTAGTCAGCGACACTGCCTCCGTTCCCAGACACATCATGTGGAAGGCGAAGCACTGTGTAAGTGTTCTTTATAAGCCCAGAGCTCTGGATCCGCGTTGCAGTTTTGAGCCACAATTGGCCAGCCAGAAGCCCACCCCCTCCCCTACATGTTATGGGCCAACCCTCAATGCCCAACACCTGGCACCTCAGGTATAGCAGAAGTGCCTCATCTTGCAGATAAATTGTTTCTAGACCCTTCTTCTCCCAAAGGGGCTGTGGGAGTGCTGGATCCTTGGGATCATGGAGCTGAGGAGGGGACCCTGAAACACACCCTCACCCATCAGAAAGGTGGACAAGGGGGGCATAAATTAAAAAAACAAAGTAAAAGGCTACACTTCAACCTCCTGAAGGTAAGCAGCCCAAGGAAAAAAAGGTGGAAGGGAGCAGCTCAAAAGGGAGCCTGCATCCCCCCCCCCCAATTCTAATTTTGTACAGTTGCTGGCAGATACTCTTGCTTGAATATTCTATTTGAATATTGATTACCTATTTATATGAAGATGCTAAGTTTGCATTCTCCTCCTTAGTGGCCAATACTCATGGCAATGCTATAGGAGGAAGTATCCCCTCACACAGAGGAGCTCATACATAAATATGGTTTAAAGAATTGTTACTAATAGCATTGATGTTCAGAGAGACTTGGAGGATTATTCTGACGGCTGAGACAAAAGTTTCATACAAACGTTACTCTAATGAACGTCATTCTTCAGCTTGTGCTGAAGTTCTACAAGTCCAGTTACCAAGGGTCACCAAGTCCATTTTAGTAAACAACACCCTTTATGAGAAGGATATAATACTGGATGTACCTTGTTCTCATTCTTCAAGACATGTCTTCTTGTGCTACCGCAATCAGGATTGTTTTTTTTCTTCACCATTACACAGGATTTCGTTTCAAGGAGTGATTTAGACAAGCTTCAAAATTATAACTTTCATGGCCATGTCTTTAATTGTGGAAAAGAACAAGTGATTTTTCATGATGACTGAAAAATTGATTATAGACTTTGCTGGTACTTGTGAAAAAATTATCTTCCATTTTATAATGAAGTCTGAAAAATAATGCACGGCTCTAGCTTTTAAAGATCCATTTTCAACGTGGCACTTAGAAGAGACTGGGACTGTAGAATTTAGGATGAATACATGTCTGGATGCCAGTTAATTAACGAGTGAGTTGTAATGTTTTCTTCCTAGTGTAGCCATGACTTTGGACCTTTCTAGTAAACCAAACTCTGAGATATCACCATCACTTGCAATAGTGATTCCAACTTTGCCACCAGCTGAAGTCTGGCAACACAGCTCCTCCACTCAGACAATGGTGTTCTAAGGTGTTAAGCAGGACACACACACACACTGCATTTTTCAGGACAGCCTTCCTGGAGGTGACAACAGTGGACTAGATCTGTGCAATAAATGCTGTAACTGCTACTTGTCACCATTGGAAGCCCATGACAGGGGGGTGGGGGGCAACAGAAACAAAATAGAGATGGGAATAGTGCAATCTAACTGCAATGTATTGTGTGTAGGCAACAAAGCTGTATTAAATTCAGCCAAGAAATGATGCGTCATGGCACATGCCTTATAAAAGAAAAGACTTCAATGTTTTGTCACCACAAAAACAAAGCACATTCAAGGCTCAAGATAGCTTACAATCCAATGAAGAAGTAATCGGAAACCAGCTTTTAAACATCACAAAAGTTTAATAGATCAGGCAGGCACAAATGTAAAAATTCTATGAAACCTCTTCCATAGTTTTTACAATAAAAGTTATTTTTCCAACATCACAATTTTTAACAATATGACAAATGCACATATTTGTATTACTGAACACAGGGAAGCACATAACACAGTCATCCAATGCTACAGACTAACTGCAAAGCCAAATATATATATAGTTCATCAACTGAAACATATCCACCAAGTTAGGTCATGTTCTTCACTGCATATGGACACAGAAAGACAGTCCTACAACAGAATAGTCAAAATGTAGGCTTTAGCCGAAGTGCAAGCTCTATCGGTTATTAGCAACAATGGGGTCCTAGGCAAAAACCATGGTGTGGACCATCACAATATCATCCCCCCGCTGCTAGAAGGTTACCTTGGGGGTCTTCCAAAGACAAATGAACTAGTAAAAAGTCAGCTTCCTACTTGCAGCAAGTGGCCTCAAGATGCTGGAGGACATTAACGAAGTCCCTTAGCTCTTTATAATGTTGAAGATATTGTATGGCAATAGATGAAAAACCATTTGTTATAGAACCAACAATGTATGCAAAGTAACCTTACCTACTGCACACACATCTGAAGTATGTTTGCATACGGCATTAAAGAACTGCAGTGTTAATTCCCTTTGGTGATGCTACTGTACTGTGTGAAGTGGGATTAAGTTTGCCATTAGAATCCTATGTACACAAAAAAAAACTGCAGGGGAACACATTAGAAAATGTTAAAGGATTTAAAAAAACAAAAAAATTATAGTGTTTGTTGCTTCATAAAAATGTAAAGAAAAAAAACCCCCAAGACAGGAGAAATAAGGAAATGTGTGTACTTTGGATCACAGAGGTACCTTCATTCACAGAGAACGAGATGACAAACCAATAAAAATCCCATTGCTATTTTTCAATAAAGATTAGAAATACCAACATACAAATTCCTATGAATTCCCGTGCATGCGGAGAAAACAGTCACTACATTTCAGCCAAAACCGCTCAATCACTGGTCAAAGCTATCGTGTCTTTCAAATACAGGATTATGGATGGTTGAAGAAATAGACTTGAACAAAAAAAAAAAAAACTGGTATTATCCATATTTGACAAAACAACTGGAAGCAACTATAAAATCTGAAAATGTTTAATCATCCAAAGCCACTATGGAGAATACATTCCAATTTAGAACAGAATTTGAATGAATAGAATATATAGCATTGAACAGAATAGAAAAAAAAAATCCCACTTGCTTGCTTGGCCACAATCAGTTAAATGTTGATGACATTTCCCTATGTGCTGGCAATAAATAACCAGCATTAGGTTGGCACTTAGCCTTTTGCTGAACACTGCTCCCTCCATCTCCTCCATACTTCAAGGCCGACCATCCTGGCACATTACCCAAAGTCTATCTAGTCATGTGATTTAGTCATACAGTAACAGGACAGACGTACACTAAGGGGAATATTTATAAAGCAGTATATGTGACTTGCACTGTTCAGTGGTGGTGAACCAATCACGGTCATTTAACAGATACCCCTGAAAGATTCACCTGCAACAAAATGTTTGGTGAATGTCAGATACACTGCTTTACTAATATAACCATAAATGTCAATTATGATATTAGCGCCACCACCATGGCCCTGAACAATGCTGCTCAGTAGATTTCAGGTTTCTTGAGTACAAGGTTCCTACATGTCCCTACCTTGCAATGAAAGAGAAAAGCCACCACCATGTCACTTTCACAGGCAGAGATCTGCTGGGGTCCTCTTGCTGCCCCCATCCCTCTTCTTGCTGTTTTTACAACACTGCACTGCAAGGGTCAAGCGCTCGTTTTTGTCTAGGTGCAAAAATAAAAGTTTTACTCACTCAAGCTCCAAGCCAGCCAGTTGTCACAGCGCTCCCTCCAGCCTGTTTCCCTCACCGCCGCAGCACTGGAATGTTTGAGTGCCCTCACGTCCATACACCTTTTATAGACGTGATGATTTACAGGACCTTAGACTGTTGCAGAGGAGGGGGAAGAGAGGCTCTAGGGACTGGTCTGACAACAAGCTGGCTCGGCGAGTATAACTTTTTTTTTTTTACCTAGACAAAAAGAAGCTGTTAACCCTTGCGGTGTGGGGGTAGCCCCACTGCAAGGGTTAAAATACATTTTCCCCCCCCCCCCCCCCCC